GCTTTATATTCTGATCAAAAAGCACTTACTGAGCTTGGTTAACTGATGTGAAATGCAACACTTGTCAGATGCAAAGTTTCATGGGTGAAAAGCCTAGTAATTCAAGCACAATACAATTCAATAGAAGTCAACCGTTTCCTAAATGACTTCTAAATGCAAGGCACTGTTTTAGGTGCTGGGGTACACAGATGAAAAAAAGGACAGTCTCTGCTTTCGAGGAGGTTGCAATCTAATAGTTTACAAGTAAGTTTCACAAGACAGAATATAATGAAAGCCTAAAAGAGATCCACAGAAAGTACTCCAGGAATATAGAATAAAAAGAGATCACTTTCGTCAAGGAGATCAGAGAGTGTTTCTTGGAGGACTCAGCACTGTTTTCAGCCTAAACAAAGAAAACTTAACGAGTTTGCTAAGTATTCTTCCCAAGGAGATGCATTAGCTCTAGCCTCAGCCAAATATAAATACAATACAATCCTATTGCCAAGGTGAATCAATCAATCAGTCAATAAGCATTTATTAATCACTGTGCTAGGTTGTGGGAATACAAAGACAAAAGTGGTACAGAAGCTGATTTTACACCAACGAAGCCTTTTTTTTTTCAGGCACCTAAAAGAAGATGTATTCATTTTTATAGCAGAATTGATTCAGGAACTTAATAATTATGATAAAACAAACAATAGTCATTTATCTAGCACCTTTAATCTAAAGGCAGTCAGTCAACAAACATTCATTAAGTGCTGCCCTAATGTGTGTCTCAAAGCTCAAAAATGTTAGATTTCAGTCACTTTCATATCTCAATCTTACTCCAAGATAAGTCTCTTTTTTTAAAAAAAAAAAAATTTTTTTTTAAGGCAATTGGGGTTAAGTGACTTGCCCAGGGTCACACAGCTAGTAAGTGTCAAGTGTTTGGTCTGAGGTCGGATTGTGAACTTAGGTCCTCCTGACTTCAGGGCCGGTGGTCTATCCACTGTACCACCTCAAGATAAGTCTCTAACAGTTATTCTTATATTGTTGTCAGTCCCTACCTTCCTCACATGACCTTATCACTGTCTATTCTACTATACAAACCATGCTCATTTCTGCCACTAACCTTGCTGCTCCCCATTCCCACCCCCCAACATCTATAGAACACTATCCCCTCACCCTCCACTTCTTTCTCCCAATTCAAATTTTACTCATCTTTCAAAGCCTAACCCAATTTCCCCTTCTTCCATGAAGGCTTTTCTACCATAGTGCCCCATGAGCTTTCTCTTTTCTGAATTCCTAGTGTACTTATTGTCTATATCAGTGGTTCTTGTTTTTTGTTGTTTTTTTCTTGGGTCCAATTCTTCATGACCCCAGTTGGGGTTGTCTTGGCCAAAACTGGAGTGGTTTGCCATTTCCTTCTCCAGCTCATTTTGCGGATGAGGAAACTGAGGCAAGCAGGGTTAAGGGACTTGCCCAGAGTCACACAGCTAGTAAGTATCTGAGGCCAGATTAGAACTCAAGGAGGATGAGTCTTCCTGACTCCCAGCCTAGCACTCTATCCACTGTACCACCTACCTGCCAGTTCCTATTTAGTGGCTGCTTAAATTAGACCATTAAACAATTAAAGTATGGTCAAATGAATGTACATATTCTCATTACTGTTCTGTATGCTGCACCAGAGCAGCTCCCTCAATCTCTCTGTTACGCTGTAATCTTACCTCATCAGCTGTATGATCAAGTGATTGAGAGATGAGGAATGTTTGTGTTCCAGGGCAAATGTCAGACCATTTGAAAACCATGATCACTGAGTATGCGCCTTACAAGCCACTTTGGAATCATCACCAACCACCACAAATGTTCTGCATAAGCAAACCATACATTACAATTTTAAGGTTGCTTTCAGATTTAAACTTATCTTCCACTTATTAGTTACTACTTATTTGCTTATTAGTTACTTAGTTACTGTTGTTCTATCTGGTGAATTTTTAAATGAACTGGTTGGCAACACTGGTCAGTGAATTTCTGTGAGTGTATAGCTGCTGTGCCAGTGTTAGAAGAGAAGAAAATCATGTCTGATGAGATTCTTTCCTTATAAAAATTATTTTATATTTAAAATGTTAAAATGAAACAAAATATGTAATTTCACTTTAAGAGAATTTATCATTTAATACAGTGTTTGTCATTAGCCAGTGGAAGAATAAGCATTTTATATATTGTAAATCATTTGCTTAGGTAACTAAAAGTTAAAAATTAATTTCCATTCTCAGCAAGAAAGCTTGTAAAATTTTCCTACCATTTTCTACCTCATATTTGTGTGAGAAAGTATTTTCATTTTATTTTTGCTTTAAATCAAAATGAACTCAATGTGGAATCAGATTTGACTGTTTTTGTTGCTAAGCCAAATGTTGCAAACCTGTGTTCAAATAAAAGTCCAACATCAAAATTAAGTTTATAAGTGATTATTGTATTATTTTCAACACCTTCAAAGTTGTAACTTATTTAAATTATTTGTATTCAACAAAATTTGCAAAATGAAAAAAATTATATTTAGTCTCACAGATATGAGATTTTTTTGGATTACTTCTTTTAATTAATTTTACAATTTTAAATTTAGTTTTCAAAATTATAGATAGAATAGAATGCTACAGTTCATAATTGTGTAATTATGATATGTTGTAACATAATGTAAATGTTAATTTAGAGCTTTGGGTGGCAAAAGATGTCCTTATAGTTAGTAAGTACTTTATGAATAAATCTAAAGATATGGGCAGTATATTTAATTACCTTGGAGGTTCACAACACATTTCTGTTATTGTTGAAAATGGTTCATGGAACAAACAACACTGGTCTAGTTCAGTGCCTTGCACATAGTAGGTGCTTAATCAGTATTTGTTCAAATGAATATAGGACTTGATAATTTAACAAAGTCCTTCTGCTTCCCTGATGCTCACAATAATCCTGTGATGTAGGATAGGCATTATTATACTGATTTTACAGATGAGGCAACTGAAATTAAGTGGCAGATTGACTTGACCATGGTCACAGTGGCAGAGGTTGAATTCAAAACCAGGCTTGCTGACTCCATGTGCTCATTCCATTATACCATCATGCACAAGAAATAATCAGGGAAAAATCCAAGCTCAAGCACGAGATCATGCTGTGAGACTACCTAGGTGGTACAGGCAGTGGAAAGATCAGCATGTGTAAGAAATGAAAATGCATATTGTCTCCTGCTTGGAATGGGCTATAATTTCTCTCTAATTAGTGAATTAAAAGTCTAGTAAATGTAAGGAAAGGTGATGGGATGGGGTATTCAAATGAAGAAAGCTTGAAAAGCTGAAATTAGGGATTTTTGTTCCTTGGGAAGTTCATCTGGGGCACAGGTGGGAAGACAGAGAGACCTACCCTTGGACACCATGAATTTTTTACATTGCAGAAGGACTTGTTGATTGGGTGGGAGGAAGAATATGTTAGTCAGTGTTAGGGGTGTCCTGGGTGGGGGAGTAAATACTGAGGGCACTGGGACTTTACTATGGAATAATAATAATGATAATAGCTAGCATCTATACAGCACTTCAAGGGCAGCTAGGATAGAGTACTAGGCCTGGAGCCAGGAACTCATTTTCCTGAGTCCAAATTTGGCCTCAGACACTTACTAGCTTTGTGACCCTTGGCAAATCACTTAACTCTGTTTGCTTCAGTTTCCTCATCTCCAAAAATGAGCAGGAAAAGAAAATGACAAATCACCACTCTAGTATCTTTGCAAAGAAAACTCCAAATGGGGTCATGAAGAGTTGAACACAACCTTACATATATTATCTCATTTGATCCTCACAACAACTCTGGGAGAGAGGTGCTACTATTCCTTTTTTACAGATGAGGAAATTGAGGCTGAGAGGTTAAGTGATTTGCCCAGTAGCAAGTAGCACACATCTGGTGTCTGAATATAGATTTGAATTCAGATATTGCCCCTTCCCAGGTCATTACCTATAAATTTTCAGTAGTGAACACAACTTTGGTTGTTAGGAACTTAGGCCTTGGTGAGACAGTCTGTCCTGGAGTGGTGGCATTACTCACCACACCAGGAGGATGATTGAAGTTAGGATAAAGATATTAAGCAGACATTTTATATTAAGAGGCTCCCATAAATATTGTGAAACACATTAAAATGATGGGGGAAGGAAGAGGCAGACACTCACAAAAAACTCCATGTGTTAACACCCTGGACAAGGTCAGTCAGTAGGTCAATAAGCATTTATTAAGCCCCAACTATGTGCCAGGCACTATTCGTAGCGCTAGGAATATCAAGAAAGGCAAAAGATAGTCACTGCTCTCAAAGAGCGGAGTCTAATGGACTTGCAAGCTTAATGGACTCACGTGGAGCTGACGTGAAAGTAACTATTTGCAAACAAAATACACCCAGGATAAACTGGACATCATCAATAGAAGGGAGAGATTAGCATTAAGAGGAATACGCAAAGGCTTCTTGTAGAAGATGAGATTTTATCTCGGACCTAAAGGAAGCCAGGAAAGCCGGGAGGCAGAGATGTTTAACCCTCTCATTTCACAGATGAGTTAACTGAGGTCCAGAGAAGGAAGGCCACTTGCCCAAAGGTCACACAAGGAGTTAGAGATTCAGGACCAGAACCCAGGAGATTACCTGGGCTTTCACTAGAGGGAGGGGAGGTCAGACACAGAATGAGGCCTCTCCTAGGAACACAAGTCTTCCTCTGATCTCCTCCTTCTTCTTTCTTTCTCTCTCTCCCTAGGAGCCCGGGACTTGGTTTATGGCTACAGTCTCCTCCTCCCTATGTCCGCCGCGGGAAGTCCCGCCCCTTGGCCCTAGACTGGACCCAGCCCCAGCGGCTCGCTGTCTCTCTGCCATCTCTCCCGGAGCCCCGCCGACTCTCTCGGTCTCCCCCTCCCAGGATTGGGAGTCCTGAGTTGGGCTGTCTATCTGTCCGTCAGTCCTTGGGTCAGTCCGTCTGTGCCCAAAGCCACCTCGTCCAGTCCCATCCCGCCCCATCTGCTACCTCCTCCCCGCCGTAGCGGGCCAGCTCCTCCTCCGTAAAGAGCCGCACCGGGGGCCCCCGCTCTGGGGTGCGCGGCGTCTGCTGGGCTCGGACAGCGGCCAAGTTCAAGGCCAGCACCACCGCCAGCAGAAACTGCCAGAGGCACGGCCGCCTCCGCAGCCCCGGAGCAGCCATCGTGAGGGGCGGGGAGGCCGGGCCGGGGAGGCCGGGCCGGGGAGGGCAGGCTCAGGTTGGCCAAGCCCGGGAAAGCCGGAGCTTTCCAGCCCCGCCCCGGCCCTCCTAGCCCGAGCCGGTTCCTTAGCTACCTCCCCACTGTAAGTCTGGGCCGGCTTTCAACCCCGCCCCATCCGGGAGCTAGAAGGGATTTAGACTTCAGTTTAGTCCAATGCCCTCTCAATCCTTCCCCCTCCGTTTCTATATGTCACATCTGGAGAAACTGAGGCCTAGAGAGGGGACTTGGTGAGAGAGTTTGACTGGCGTGCTGGATTCAGTCTGAACCACTGCCTTTTATTAGTTGTGTGAGACTAAGTGGGTTACATGGCCTCAAAGTGCCTCAGCTTCCTCATCTGTAAAATGAGGATAATAATGCCTGCAAGGTGTTGTGAGATACAAATGCACTTTGCAAACTTAAAATTGCTATACGAATGACAGTTATTGTCCAAGGTCACACAAGGAGCTATTGAAAAATTCAAGACTACAGCCCAGATTTCCTGACCTCAGTCCTGTATTTCTTCCACTTCATCTCTACCTTTGAAGTAGAAGGAAGTGAAAAGGTTATGTAGAGGAGGGATCCATCGAGATAACGTGTGTATTGAAATAATATAAAAATCGATCCCTTTATGTTTAAAAAAATACATTGTTACAGTGTTTATGTTGGATACTTAGATTTTTCTTTTGGTCCCGACCTGTGATTTCGTCAGTGTAGGGAACTTCTAGGGAGGACACTTCCTCTACCAATGAAGACTGACCACTCTTTGCAACTTGAAATCTTAAGAGAGTTGTCTCAGGTCACTAAAAGGTTAAGTGATTTGCTAAGGAACACGCAGCTAACTTGTGTCAAGCAGGAATTGAATTCCTATATATGCTGGATTAGACACGCAGACCAGATGCTGTAATTATTTATTCTCTCTATGGGGTGCTCAGCCTTCTGTAGAGAAAAGAAACCCTGTTTCTTTTAGCTACCTCCCATCAATTTAGGATCATTCATTCTGTGTCTCTTTAAGTTGCAAATCTATCACCTTTCTGTCAGAAAAGGTGCTTCATCATTGGTTTGGGGGAATCATTATTGGTCATTGCATTGACCAGAGTGTTCTTAAATCTTTCAAAGCTGTTTGTCCTTACAGGGTTGTTGTTGTTGTATACATTTTATTCCTGGTCTGACTGACCATCGAACGTCTTTGACTCTTTTGTGTGTTTGTGTGATGAGGTAAAATGGAAAGGAGAGCTTGAAGCAGATGGAGCAAGCAGGATACAGTTTCTGAGATATGAGATAAGATGCAGGATGTGACCAGCCAGAAAAGTGATCAAGAAAACTATGCATTGAAGCCCCCCACTGTGGACTTACCTATGTGCTTTCACAAAGCACCCCCCAACTACCTGACATTCCAGAACAGCTCTTCCCTTCCCCTTTCCTGTTCCCTTTGCTTATCTTTATGGACTAGTGACATTCTGGAGCAGTGTTTCTCCTCCCATTCTCCTGCTCCCCTTCCCCCATCCTGTCAAACTACATAGACCAGACAACTAACCTGGCTCAGTGATCTGCCTCCCACTGGGAGCAGGGCCCGATGAGTGCATCACCCCAATAAATGCCTTTATTAACTTGGAGATGGTCCGAGCAAATTCATTTAAGACACCATTATTCCTCATCATTCTGGTGCACCCCAACATTTTGCGGTGCCTTTGAACCCCAACATGTGTTCACATAAGTTTGCCACTTGAGGGTCCACCTAACATGCTAAATTTCTAATGACATCTAACGTTCTCAATATAAAATCACAATAACAGGATACTAGCTGAGCCTTTCCACATCACCAGTCCGTCTTCTCTTCCTAGCATGCATTTCCTTGAGGAATGACATCTTTTTCTCCCATTCTGTAAAGTTCCTCATTGCTTACACTTTGCAACCTGCTTATACTCACCATGTGTCTCTATCCATTGTCCTCTGATAGAAACTATTTTAATTTTTTGAAAACTGTTGAATTCCATGTCTTTTTGTGGGGGGCAGGGAAAGAAGAATAGAACAAGCATTTATTAAGCATCTAGTGGGTGCCAGGCACCATGTGTACAAAGAAGCTAAATATCTATGTATAAAGAAACTATATACAGGATAAAGTGGAAATAAACAACAAAGGGAAGGCATTAGAATTAAGGAAACTGGGAAAGGAATTAAAGAAATTAAGGAATTGGAAAAGACTTCTTGTAGATGGTGGGATGTTAGCTAGGCCTTGAGGGAAGCCAAGTGTAGATGATGTAGATGAAGAGAGAGCATTCCAGACATGGGGGGGGGGGGCGGATATACATGGAGATAGAAGATGGAGTGTCTTGTTTAAGAAACAGCAAAGAGTCCAGGGTCACAGGATCTTAGAGAACAAGATGGTACTGATGGTGGCGGTGGTATAAAATGTAAGAAGACAGGAAAGGTATGGAGTGGGGGTGGGGGACAGATTTTGTACGGTTTTGAATTCCAAATATTTGGCTCTGGAGGTGATAGGAAGTCACTAAAATTTATCAAGTGGTGGTTTCGGAGATGGGAGAGTGACATCATCAGACTTGTACTTTAGGAAGATTATTTTGACATCTGAGTGGCTGAGAGCAGAAAGACTTGTGGTAGACAGACCAGTCTGGAGGCTATTTCAATAGCTGGGGTGTGAGGTGATGAATCAGGGTGGTTGTACTGTCAGGAGAGAGAAGGTTACATATTTGAGAGATGTCATGAAGGTAAAATCCACAGGCACGGGCAGCAAATTGGATATGGGTGAGGGGCAGGGAAGGTGAGGGTGAGAAGTTGAGGATGACATCTAAGTTACCAGCCTGGGTGACTGGGAGGATGGAGGCACAATCAACAGTATTAAGCAAGTTAGGAAGAGATTGTTTTGGGAGGAGAAGATAATGACTTCAGTTTTGGAAATGTTGAGTTTAAGAAGTCTAAGATACATCTAATTTGAGATGTACTGTAGGCAGTTGGAGATGTGAGACAGGAAATCAGCAGAGAGATTAAGAGTTGATAAATAGATTTGAGATGTGTGAAGCTTAGTTTTCCTCTTCCTCTGGGCTTAAGTCTAAATTTTTTTTTTTTGTATAACTTTTACCTAATTGCTCCAAGTTCTGTCCCCAGGGCCCAAACTAAATGGACCCAGAAGTAAGTAGCAGTAACTGCCCCTAAGGCGAATTCAATTGAATTAATGGAGGGGCAGAGGACAATCTGTCCCATAGTTTTACTTGGAGGGCCTACATAGAGCCATGCACCATCCAACTCCTTTTTCATATAACCACCCTTCAAAAACTTGAAAATAGTTACTGCATTTTTTTCTACATCTTCTGTTTTTCAGACTACACACCCCTATTCCTTTAATTAATCATCTTATCCTATGAACTTCAGGCCCTTCACCATTCTGGATCCCCTCCTCTGGATATTCTTCTAGCTTAACCATTTCTTTCCTAACTCAATTTAAAAAAGAATATTTAAAATTATCTTTACATGTAATTGGGGGAAAATAAAATATTTTTAAAAAATAAAAGAAAAAAAACAATTTCTTGCCTAAGCAGTGCTGTCTTGTACCGAATACAACACTCCATTTGTGATCTGCCCAGGGGAAAGTGCCGGGAAGGTCAATGAACTGGTCAATAAATGCTTATTCAACACCTACCAGGTGTCAGTCACTGTGTTAAGTGCTGGGGTTATAAAGAAAGGGGAAAGGACGTCTGCTCTCGAGGTACTATCACCTCCTTATTTAGATCACCAAGGAGAAAAGAGGCAAGAGAAGAGAAGACAAGAGAGAGACGAAAATGCCAAGGACAACTAGCTTGGTAACATCACTTCCCTTCTTGAGGTCTCCCTCAGTTTACTTTTTTTTTTAAATAAAATGGGGAGCTGGGTTAGATGAGATGCTTTCAAAGAGCCTTTCCAGCTCTAACATTCTGCATTTTTTTCCCCGGGTTACGCTGACTGCTTGCCCATTTAAGAAGGAAGAAGCTCATTCTTGTTTGTCCACCCAAATGTGCTTGGGGTGAGGGGAGTTGCCTTCCCACACTGGAACGAGAGGGGATACAGGTCTGCAGCTGCAGTGGGCACAGAGCTGCATTCATTAAGGTTTAAGTAGCCAACTATTTGCTCCTCTCCTCTGAAGCCTCAGACAGGAACACAAAGAAAGACCATTCATTCTCGGCTGTATGAGAGCCCTCACTTGTAATCTCTGAGGAGGACTGAGGCAGGAAGATGTGGCCACTGAGTTCCAATGCTGCCACATGGGCAAAGTCAAGTTCTCCTCCAAAGTTAAAGCTTGTATTCTCGCGCTTATGTCTCCAGGAATTTGAAATTACAAGACTCTAGCATACTTTCGACTTGGCTACCCTTTTTTTTTTCCCCATCCACTCAACTGTCCGACTTCCCCGTCTCCCTCTGGAAAAAAAATTATAGCGAAAAAAATTGCGCAACTGGGCAAACTGGCCCAGTTCCTTCCTGTACTACAGTTAACAACAGCCTCTGAATCGCTCCCAATGGAGGACTACATTTCCCAGCAAGCTCTGAAATCAGTCCTCTTTCAACCCCGACAAGCGCCTTCAGGCGAGACGCATGCGCCCCAGAGCCTCCCGGGGGGCCGGCACTCCCGGTAAGGTTCTGTTGAATCCGTTTACCCTCGCACTGTTCTCTGTTCTTGCTGCTTCCCATCTTTGCGGTCCTCCTCCTCCTCTGCCCGGTGGACCAGTGCTAGCTCCGGGCTGCAGCATCTCTTTCAATCGATGCCATGATCAGGCAGGAGCTGTCTTCATCTTATCAGGAGGTACTGGGGAGCCAGGGGCAAAAGAAAAGTTTATTGGGGTGGCGGGGGAGGTGGGGGAAGGGTCGTGGGCGTCACTTTCTCAAGCACTAGTTGCAACGGGAGATTGTGTGTATGTGGTGTGTGTGTGTGTGTGTGTGTGTGTGCTCTCGCAAAAAAAAAACTGGCTGCAAAAGAACTCAGGCTGT